TTTACACCACAAAAATCAGCAAATGCTATAAGTCAGGGCCTTTTTTTCCCGATAGCCACATGCTAAACACTTACCTGCACACCAAGAGATATAGGGGACCATTTTCCCCTTCATAGGATGCTATTTTTGTTGTTGTTTATTCAATACTACCCCCTCCTGATTTTCTTTTAGCTCCCCTATCCCACCATTACATGTTAGCATTCTTCTTCCTTTCATGCTCTAGCTCCATAAATGATCTCACTAGTTTCTATGTATTCAAATACTACCACTATGTGGATCAATTTTGGATTTGTATCTGCAGCCCAGACCTCTCCTCAAAGATTTGAACTCAAACATGGAACCACTCATTTAAATTTGTACTGGGGGTCTTAGAGCAGACATCTCAAACTCACTGACAAAACTTAGTTCCATAAAACCTTTCACTTTGTATGTGTGTGTGTGTGTGTTTGTGTGTGTGTGTGAGGTAAAGTCTCACTCTGTCACCCTGGCTGGAGTGCAATCTCAGCTCACTGCAACCTCTGCCTCCCGGGTTCAAGCGATTCTTATGCCTAAGCCTCCCGAATAGCTGGGATTACAGGCACCCGCCACCACACCCGGCTAATTTTTGTGTTCTTAGTAGAGACGGGATTTCACCATGTTGGCTAGGCTGGTCTTGAACACCTGACATCAAGTGATCCACCTGCCTCAGCCTCCCAAAGTGTTGTGATGTGTGAGGTGTGAACCACTGGGACCGGCCAAACCTTTCCCTTTCTGGTCTTCCCCATCCCAACATTCTCCATTTCAGCAAACGGAACCACAATATACTAGGTCACTGAAGCCAGAAACCTAAGCATCATCCATGGGTCTTCCCTGTTCCTCAACTTCATGTCTAATCCATCAGCAAATCCTGTCAATTCTACCTCCAAAATAGCTTGTTCCTCTTATTGTTTTTCTTCAGCTTTATTCCCATCGTATTTTGAGCTACCATCATCTTTCAGCTCAATTACTGTAACAGCTCCAAACTGATCTCTGAACTTCGATTCTTCTTCCCCCCAAATCCATTCTCCATGTAGCAGTAAAAAGTGATCATAACATGTGGAGGAGATCACACCATTGCTTAAAAGTCTTTTTTTACATTTCTCTAATAGCTCTTATATTCATTAAAGCTTTTTAAATTTTATTATGCTTTAAGTTCTGGGATGCATGTGCAGAATGTGAGGTTTGTTACATAGGTATTGTCTGCTTGAAGTCTTTAAATGGCCTTTCATTGCATTTAGTTTAAAAAATTCTTTCAGGTTTTCGAACTGGTCTCTGCTTACCTCTCTTCAACTTTTGAAGTGTGATTATTTAAGCTCATGTATGTTCTGTTCAAGACTTTGGCTTCCTAGTCTCTAAACATGCCAGGCTTCCCCTGCACCCCACATATAGCTTTTGTATGTACATACTGAGCCTGAAATGATCTTTTCTTTCTCTTCCTGTGGGTAGTTCCTTGTGTTCCTTTTATTACAAAATCAATTTAAATTTACCCTTTCCATTGTTCTTTATTCTAGCCCCTTATTTCCTGATTGACTGAATAAATGAAACTGTATTCCTAAGGATTTATCTAATAGGAATGAATAATGAAAAAGCATTAAAAAGTTCTTAGCATGAGGCCTGGTGCAGGGTATATGTTGAAGAATTTTTTTTTGCTACTATTTTTCAATTTAATTTAATTTATAACATTCCATAGTTCCTAAATAAAGACTTGTGTCCTGAAGGTGACTGTGTTAAAGCTCAGGATATTCTCACTTCCTAGTTTCACAGATGGGTAAGCTGATTTAAGCAGGACATCCCTAGTTTTTATGCTCTGGTTTATTAAGAATGTACTGGTAAAGGAAGGAGTGAATATTGCTGGTAGGAACTGAAACATGTATGGTGATCCAAATAGGATAAAAGACAAGAGCACTAAGAAAACTATTAGACCACAAGTGCCTCTTGTTTTTCCTGATCAAACAGATGTAGAAAGAGCATGTTTAGATTTTGGTGATTTAATTGGTCAGACTGTGATGCTAACAAGGCTCTGGTTATATGCTTCTAAATTTAGTCACTTAGTTTGATGTCAGAGAGTTCTGCAACTGTCATATTATATTAAAAATAAAGCTTTTCAATCGTTAGAGCACCTAGGGCAAGTAGAAGGTTGGTGCATTATATATATATACACGTATGCATATATATGTATATATACACATATATACAGGCACATAAACACACACCTATATACATACACACACACACATATGTGTTTTTTTCTTTTTCTTTTTCTTTTTCTTTTAAGACCGGGTCTCACTCTGTCACCCAGGCTGGAGTACAGTGGCGCGATCTTGGCTTACTGCAACCTCCACCTCCTGGGCTCAAGTGATCCTCCTGCATTAGCCTCCCAAGTAGCTGGGACCACAGACATGTACCACCATGGCTGGCTAATTTTTGTATTTTTGGTAGAGACGGGGTTTCACCATCTTGCCCAGGCTGGTCTTGAAGTCCTGAGCTCAAGCGATCTGTCCGCCTAGGCCTCCCAAAATGCTGGGATTACAGACATGAGCCACTGCATACAGCCCATTATGTTTTTTTATGTAGGGGTGATTTAGGGAGTAGCATCACTTTACAATTCTAAGAAGAGTACACAAGCAATATAACATTTAAATAACATTAGTACTGGCATCAGATTTAAAAACCATTAAAGGCAAGAAATTTGTTCAAATACTTGTTGGTTGTTTCTCAGGAGCAGTAACCTTTCTGTAGCCTTGAGGATGTATCTACAAGGGGCCCTCCAGGCAATTGCGTTCTACTTTCACACAAACCTGTAGCCCCACCCTCTCCAGTCTCTTGGTCTCCCTTAAGGACCTAGAACAAAATCTTCCTGAACTTTCACCTTGAACTGCCCTATCCACTGTGGTCTTTAAGGGGTAAGGGCTCACTCCCAGGCCTTGTTTTACCATGCAGTTAAAATATATAGAAAAAGAACAACTTAAGAGAAGTAAGAAAGCTTTGACCTGTGAAGGAAAATTTACATGAGGCCATTGGTTTCTACTGAGCTCTCGCACTGGGCCCAACAGACTGAAGCAAAATGGAATCACTCCTGCTGAAGTTTCACACCACCAAACCAAAACTAAGTTGTTGATCTGACCTTCCAAGGAATCAGAGAGAGAGAGAGAGAGCACCAAATCCCCAGACAGACCAGTTTTACCTGGCATGATAAGGAAGTCCTTTCTACTTTAACCTTTAGGAGGAAAGCAACTTCAAAATGACCAATCCACTTTTTGTTCTCTGGGTCTGCTTCCCCAGCCCTTTCTGCCTGTAAAGCCAACCTTCTCTGTTCAGCTCATTTACAGATTGAGTTGTTGCCCGATTCTAGAATCACTGATAAAAGCCTATTAAGATCTTTACCTAAATGAGTTGTAATTTTGTCTTTGGACAGACTCACTTGATTCTTTTTCCCGCAGATTCACTTTCCTCTTGCCTGCCACCTTCTTTTTCGGGAATCCCATTGTATGTTCTCAAGGACCCTGTTTATTCTGCAACTCAGATCAAAATTCCTCTTTCCTAAAGATGAGGTGCAGAAGAGAGAAGGCCTTGGCTTTCCTTATATAGAGAGTTGATTTCCTGGAAAACCTCCAGCCACAGCCCTTTTATTTGCTTTATTATTATTTTTTTTACTCTGCCATAAATTCAACCAAGTGTACACAACCCTTTTAACATGTGAATGATGAAAGAATAAAAGACACAGCCTCACTGGAAGGCAAGATGTGAGTCACCATTTAAAAAAAATCAACACAAACTTCATCCTAATGACTTTATTTCTAAGGATCTTTCCTAGGCATATATTTGCATGAATGTGAAGAGACACGCTCAAGCATATTTAGTGCAGCCTGGTTTGTAACAGTGAAATCAGCAACAACATAAATGACTGGCAAAAGGAAAATGGTTCCCTGAACTATATTACACCCATGCTATGGAATATATCCATACTATGCAGCATTCAAAGAATAAAATAGATCTATATGCATCGATATGAAAAGACCTTTAAGATATGTTAAATGAAAACAAATCTATAGAAAAAGCATAATCCAGTTACATAAAAATACATACTTCTTTGTGTATATGTACATACACATAATGTATATATGTACGTAAAGAAAAAGATCTAGAATGATGCCCGTCAAACAGTAGTGAGATTTTGCTTTGTTTCTGAATTTTTGACAACTTAAATGTATTGATATACTACTTATGTAATTAAACATTTAAGAAAAAAGGGCAAGGAAAGCAAGAAGTCACGCCGCATAGCCTAGTGACTACCTGCTCAGTCCCTGGAACCAGACAACCTGTATCCAGATTCTAGCTTGCCACTTACTTAACCTCTCTGTGCTTCAGATTCCTCCTCTGTAAACTGGTAACAACAGTATCTACCTCTGAAGGTGGTTCTAGATATGAAATAAGATGATATGTTTAAAGTGGTTGGAACCTCATGATGGCTATATAAATGTTAGCTAATATTACTGATTAAGGAGAGAATAAATCACTGGTGATTCCACTTTAGTCGGAGAAGAATGATTATTTTTTTCATATTCTGGCACTGATGAGACCTCAGGAAATGTGTTTAAAAAAATCAATGTCAAATAGCCTGAAGACGAGGCTTCTAATACTCCTGCTATTAGCTAGTCTTCCTGGAACAAAATGCACGCTGGAGAGAGTACAGTTCCACCGACATTCACACCAATACTCCACTGGGTGCTAGAGACCAGTGAGGCAAAATTTCTGCTTTTAAGGGGCCCATTTTTGTGACAGGGGGTGTAGCAGAGGGAAGAATCAAATCAGTAAACAAATCTTTTTAACACAGTGTAGTCCACAAGATGGGGTGACACAGAACAGTGAGTGGAGCTGGAGGAACAAAGAATGGGAGGAACAAGAACGCTCCTGGTGGAACGCTCTGGAAAGATGAGAGGAGTTAGTGATGAAAATAAAAAAAGGGATGGGCACTTCAGGTAAGGGAAACAACATGATTTATTTAGGGGAACTACAAGGAGTTTGATATTATTAAAATGTATGTCTGGATGATGAATGGGGGGGCAAGGAAGTAACGAACAACAAATTTAGAAAGACAGTGACAACGATATACCTTAATTATGTAGCATCAGGGTAGTAGAAACTTCACAAGGCAAGATCACGGTGGAAAGATTATGGAAGACAATCTGCCTATTTGAACAGATTGAGAGCTTTTGTTTGTTTGTTTGTTTGTTTTGAGACAGAGTTTCACTGTCCTCCAAACTGGAGTGCAGTGGCCCAATCCTGGCTCAGGGCAGTCTTAACCTCCTGGGCTCAGGTGATCCTCCTATCTCAGTCTGCCGAGTAGCTGGGACCACAGGTGTGTGACAGTACATCTGGGTAATTTTTGTATTTTTTGTAGAGGTGGGGTTTTGCCATGTTGCCCAGGCTGGTCTCAAACTCCTGGGCTCAAGCTATCCACCTACCTCAGCCTCCCAAGCTGCTAGGATTACAGGCATGAGCCACTGTGCCCAGCCAGACTGATTTTATGAATGAAGTCTCATTTTGACAAATCATCTTTTGAAAAAAATATGACAGGCTGACTTCTGACTTGTACTTCCAGGTAGAATGCAGCAGGTCATAGCAGACCAGTGCTCTTGCTGCAACACCTAAGGAAAAGAAAGATAAGTTACCAAAATCATGGTGCAAAAGATTTAGTGAGAGAGCTATGGAAACATTGACCCCTATATGAACTAACATTTCAGAGAGAGGGGAGTACTTCCTAAGGGAGTTGACTATCTCTGGCCATTTTCCTCCCAGGAGATATTTATTAGTTCTGAGTGAAGACTAAGAATCATGCTGGGCTAGGGGGCGGGACTCTTGGTGCTTGCATGGGGCTGGCTCGACAGATTGTAAACTAGTTAGAACTGAACACATAGGAGCATATGCTAATGCTTCGGTGATGCATGAGGCTGGGAGACTTGGCCAGAGAGGCAGAGTGAAATATCCCAATTTCATGGTACTTAGGAGACCAAGTCCCACTAGGAGGAGGCATCCTGCCACAAATACACGGCTAGTTACCCTCAAGACATTTGTTAAATATTGAAGCTGCCTGGGATCAGAGGGCAAAAAGCTCAACTCAAAACCTCTGAAGAGCAGAACTGACTCTGAACAGCCAAAGAACCGGAGATCCAACAGGCTCTTAACCAAAAGCCTGGAGGGCCACACTTGAGGAACAGTGACAAAAAGAGATCCGTATTTGAGTTGAAGTGATCTGCCTATTTCATGGAGGATGACATAACCTGAAACCTCTGAATTCTTTACATACAATGTTTGGAATGCAATTAAAATTACAAAATTTGTGAAGGAGCAGGAAAATATGGCCAATAACCAAGAGAAAAAGCAGACAATACAAGCAAAGTCACAGATAGTTGATATACTTGAGTTAACTGACAAGGACTCTAGGAATAACTACAATTAATAAATTAAACAAAATAGAAAAAATATGGAAAAACATGAAAAGATAGAGAAATTCAACAGAGGTAGAATCTACTAGAAAGATCAAAAGCACATTCTAGAAATGAAAAGGACACTATATGAAATTAAGAACAGTTTAGATGAGTTTTACAGGCACAGCACAGCAAAGAAAGAGTTAATCTATTTGAAGACAGCTCAATAAAAATGATCCAAATTGAAACATAGAAAAAATCGTGGAAGAAAAAGAATGGAGCAAAGGAGACGTGGGGCATAGATAAGCAATCTAACATATTTATAATTGGAGGGGGTGGGGATAGAGAAGGGAGCAGAAGGAATATTTAAAAGATTTAAAAGATAAGTGAAACCTAAGCAGAATAAAAGAAATTGATACATAGGTATATCATAGCCAAACTGATGAAAACCAAAGATTAAAAACATTTTAGGCTGGGTGTGATGGCTCACACCTATAATCCCAGCCCTTTGGGACGCCAAGGTAGGAGGATCATTGAAGTCAGGAGTTCGAAATCAGTCTGGGCAATATAGTTGGACCCTGTCTCTACAGGAAAAAAAAAAATTTAGCTGGGCATCCCATACCTGGTGTTCTTGTAGTCCAAGCTTCTTGGGAGGCTGAGGTGGGAGCTCAGAAGTTTGAGGTTGCAGTGACCTATGATCACACCACTGCATTCTAGCCTGGGTGACAGAGGGAGACCCTGACTCTCACCCTATTACAAAAATACATTATTTTTTTTGAGATGGAGTCTTGCTGTCATCCAGGCTAGAGTGTAATGCCACAGTCTAGGCTCACTGCAAACTTCGCCTCCTGGGTTCAAGTGATTCTCCTGCCTCAGCCTCCCCAATATCTGGGACTACAGGCATGCACCACCACACCAAGCTAATTTTTGTATTTTTAGTAAAGACAGGGTTTCACCATGTTGGCCAGGCTGGTCTCAAACCCCTGACCTCGTGATTTACCCGCCTTGTCTTCCCAAATTGCTGGGATTATAGGCGTGAGCCACCACACCCGGCCCCAAAATACATTTTTTAACAGAGGAAAAAAATATACTTTATCTTCAGAGGTACAACAGTAACACCAATTGCAGTCTTTTAAACAGAAACTTTGAAAAAATAAATGGAATGACACGTCTTCAAACTGCTGAAAAAAGAAAGAAAAAGGTGTCACTAGTGATTTTACCTACACCAAAAATGGATTTGTTGTTCACCGTCTCATGCTCACGACTATTTGTGGGTCCTCTGTAACACTCTTTGGTATCCTGTGATGTCTTCCTCATACCCTTCTCTACTGTAGAATTTCAGGCTTCACAGTTCTGTAGTGTTGAAATCACCTATGCTAGGTTACATACACTGTAGCTTTATCCTCCTTTAAAGTGACCTTTACTTTTATCCACTGGCTTTAATCTGCAATCAAACATTAATGTAACCCCATTAGGAGTTTGGTATTCCACTGACTATGAGCAACAGCGCTCTACCTGTATATTAGGAACATAATTTGTATTAGAAGCTTATTTTCTGATTTTTTTTGTAAAATAGTGTTGACATCCCAGTGGTTAGAGAAATGTTTTATGCCTTACAAGTGTTAGATTGGGATTTCAGTCACAAACGATATATCATGTACGTGACTTAAGAATTTAAATGAAGCATGACTGGGCATGGTGGCTCACTCCTGTAATCTCATCACTTTGGGAGGCCGAGGTGGGAGGACCACCTGAGGTCTGGAGTTCAAGACCAGCCTGACCAATATGGAAAAAACCCATATCTACTAAAAATACCAAATTAGCTAGGTGTGGTGGCCGCATGCCTGTAATCCCAGCTATTTGAGAGGCTGAGACAGGAGAATCGCTTGAACCCGGTAGGTGGGGGTTGCGGTGAGCTGAGATCTCACAATTGCACTCCAGCCTGGGCAAAAAGAGCAAAACTCTATCTTAAAAAAATAAAAGTAAAAGGATAACAAAAAAGAATTTAAATAAAGCAGTTCAATAATATAAGCATCAGTGCCATCACTAGGTTGCCATCACTAGGTTGTAGGTTTCTTTTGCTAAGATTTAACATATCTAAGCAGTGACTGAGAAGGCTTGTAAAACATGTGTCTTCAATAATTCCGTAGATTAATCTGCAGAACGGTGAGAACTTACTGTGGCTAATGTGCTCTTCCTGGTCTATCTATGGTATTCAGAATGATCATCCAGTCATTTTTTCAAATATCCCTCACCTCTCTCTTGGAACTAAAGAGACACCATCCAGCAATAGATGAATAATCCTTGATGACTAGGATAAACCAGTTGCCTCTCCTGATCTCTCAAATATTCCATTGAATTTCCACATATCTAATTCTCAAACTGCTCAAATGCCCTATTGATATGGTTTGGCTCTGTGTCTCCACCCAAATCTCATTGTGAATTGTAAATCCCCACGTGTGGAAGGAGGGGCGTGTAATCCCCACATTTTGAGGGAGGGAGGTGATTGGATCATGGGGGTGGTTTCCCCCATGCTATTCTTGTGATAGTGAGTGAGTTCTCACGAGATCTAACGGTTTTATAAGCGTCTGGCATTTCCCCTACTTGTACTTTTCCCTCCTGCCACCATGTGAAGAGGGTCCTTACTTCCTCTTCACCTTCCTCCATGATTTTAAGTTTCCTGAGGCCTCCCCAGCCACCCGAACTGAGAGTCAATTAAATCTCTTTCCTTTATAAGTTGCCCAGCCTCAGGTGGCATCTTTGTAGCAGTGTGAGAACGGACTAATACACCTGTGTTTCTTGCTTTGTTTCAGGACACTAGTTCCTGGCATGGGTACCTTTGGACAGCTAGTACTTTTTATCCCCTGGCTCTTGCTGGGGGACTAGAGTCCAGTCTTATCTCCACCTCGGTTCCCTTGTACTGATTTCCTTTATGATGGAGCCTATGTCTAAAATATTTAACATCTCTGCTCTGCTCTGCCAAATGCTGCCACTAGCTCTCATGTCTAGATTAGAGGCCCTTCCAAGTTTTACATTCTGGCCTGACTTTGGACTAGATTACTTATTACCCTGTTTAACTCTCTCACTTTACAGCCCAACTTTTTTCTCAGTTGTAGGAGCCTTACAAATGGGTACTTTTCAAATATTTGTTCATTTTACTTATCCTTGTGGAAATCCACCCTGTATACGTGCAGCTTAGTAATCAGTAAGGTCTCAAGAGTACTCTTCTGTAGATTCCTGTAGCTCTTTCTCCACATAGTTTCCTCTAGGCACTTAACCCACACCTTCCATCCACCACGGTCTCTCGGGACCATGATTGTTGTCTCGTAAACTCAGTGAGACCACTGAGCTCTGTTTGAGTTTTTCCTCCCTTCACCTGTGGCCTGGGAGTTTCCTCTAGTCAGAAGCCAAGGCATTCACAGGAATCAATTTATTTGCTTCCCTTTTCTCAAGAATCACTGTTGTCCAATACCTAAAAATGGTTGTTTCATGTATTTTTTTCAGTTTTTAGTCTTTTGATTTGGGAAGACAAGTCTAACTCTTACTTTATCATGGCCAAAAGCAGAATTCTAGTCTATAATCTCATTTAAATCTTTGCTCCAACTGTAGTTAAGTGTGTCTAATACTCTTGATTTGTTCTTTCTTTTTTTTTCTTAGTTTCTAAAGGCCATTCATTTTGTTAATTCTTTTCAAAGAACCAAATTTTATCCTAGTTCTTCATTTCAAATGTATTGATATTTAGTTGGATTATTTCTATGTAAACAAATTTCCTTTTTCCTCATTCTTGCTTTTATCTCATACTTTTTTTTTGAGATGGAGTTTCAGTCTCGTTACCCAGGCTGGAGTGCAATGGCGCGATCTCGGCTCACCGCAGCCTCCGCCTCCTGGGTTCAGGCAATTCTCCTGCCTCAGCCTCCTGAGTAGCTGGGATTACAGGCACTTGCCACCATACCCAGCTGATTTTTTGTATTTTTAGCAGAGGCGGGGTTTCACCATGTTGACCAGGATGGCCTCGATCTCTTGACCTCGTGATCCACCTGCCTCGGCCTCCCAAAGTGCTGAGATTACAGGTGTGAGCCACTGCGCCCGGCCCCACTTTTTTTTTTTTTTTTGAGACAGAGTTTCACTCTTGTTGCCCAGACTGGAGTGCAATGGCGTGATCTCAGCTCAACACAACCTTCGCCTCCCAGGTTCAAATGATTCTCCTGCCTCAGCCTCCTGAGTAGCTGGGATTACAGGCATGCGCCACCACACCCGGCTAATTTTTATATTTTCAGTAGAGACAGGGTTTCTCCATGTTGGTCAGACTGGTCTTGAACTCCCAGTCTCAGGTGATCCGCCTGCCTTGGCCTCCCAAAGTGTTGGGATTACAGGTGTGAGCCACCATACCTGGCCTATCTCATACTTTTTAATGGTGGTCATTTTCCTCTATATAAATATATTTATATATATATTTATGTATCAACGATACAGAAATTCTATTTGTGGTTCACTCAATATCTGTTTTAAAATACTCAATATCTGTTTGTTTTAAAATATCTGTCTTGCCTTCATTTTTGAAAGATATTTTTGCTGTTCATGCAATTTTTTGTTTGTTTTTGAGACGGAGTCTCTCTCTGTAGCCCAGACTGGAGAGCAGCGGCACAATCTCTGCTCACTGCAACCTCTGTTTCCTGAGTTCAAGCTATTCTCCTGTCTCAGTCTCCTGAGTAGCTAGGATTACAGACATGCACCACCATGCTCAGCTAATTTTTGTATTTTTAGTAAAGACAGGGTTTCACCATGTTGGCCAGGCTGGTCTTGAACTCCTGACCTCAAGTGATCCACTTGTCTTGGCCTCCCAAAGTGCTAGGATTACAGGCATGAGCCACCACACCCAGCCTGTTCATAAAATTTTTAATGAACAATTATAGGCTATCAGAATCCTATTGTCTCATGGCTTTCATCATTTCCCTCGAGTCTACTGTCAATCTGTTTTGTTTCTAGGTTATGTCCTTTCTCTTTGACTACTTTTTAGATCCTATTTTTGTTTTTAGTGTTGTTCAGTTTCAATACAGTGTGTCTAGGTCTAGATTTCTTTTTATTTATCTTACTTGGTATATATTGTATTTCCTTTATCTATTGATATATGTATTTTGTAATATTCTTAATTGTTTTTTCTTCAGATGTAGTCTTTTTTCCATTTTAAAATTCTTTCTTGGGACTCCTATTACAAAGTAGATCTTCTCATCCCATTGTCAATATGACTTAACCTCTATTTTGCATTATTTGTCTCCCAATATTTTAGAGCTGTATTTCTAGGGGCTTTTTAATATCTACTACCCAATTCACTAATTCTTCCTTTGGTTCTGTTTGTCTGTTTTATCTATACATTGAGTTTTAAAATTTAAATAGTTGATAGTTATTTCTATTTGGGCTGGAGTGCAGTGGCACGATCTCAGCTCACTGCAACCTCCACCTCCCAGGTTCAAGCAATTCTCTTGCTTTATCCTCCTGAGTAGCTGGGATTACAGGTGCCTGCCACTACGCCCAGCTAAGTTTTTTGTATTTTTAGTAGAGACAGGATCTCACCATGTTAGCCAGGCTGATCTCGAACTCCTGACCTTGTGATTTGCCCACTTTGGCCCCCCAAAGTGCTGGGATTACAGACATGAGCCACCATGCCCAGCCTCTATTTGGTTCTTTTTGAAATTTACTTGGTCATTTTTGGTAGTCTCAGTGCTGGCTTAGTTTTATGATGTGTATCTTTTGTTACATTTTTGTGACTTTATATATATTTTATCTCTTGTTTTATATGTATTATCTGGGAATTATAATAACCAAACTACTTAGTATCTATTTATTGTTTCTGCTGACTCTCACTCAGCGTGGCTTATTTTCCTGTGTATTTATTCAACTTTTATCATGACTTCATTTTTGCTTGATCTTTATCTATGGAACCCTGGGGGTCTACACTGACAAAACTTTTTGTGTTTTTTTGAGACAGAGTCTTACTCTGTCACCCAGGCTGGATTGCAGTGATGGATTCATGGCTCACTGCAACCTCAACGTCCTGGGCTCAAGTGATCCACCCACCTCAGACTCCCAAATATCTGGGACTACAGGCAAAAGCCACCACACCTAGGCAATTAAAAA